GTCACCGATGGTTAGCTACACTGAGTGATATGGCTGGGTGTCGTAAACAGTGGCGCTCGTGCATCCACTCGTTATTTTTTAACACCACTCTATATATATATTCCCCATCTTCTGCTTGAATTTGCTTCGACATTCCAATCTTTATCCAAATGGGCAACCAAAACCGCCGCACGAAAGTGCATGGTTAATGGCTGTAAAAACTGAAACTGAAAACTCGGAAGCACTCAACTCGAGTTTGGTTCTTATTACAGTTCATCAGTAGTGCATATGCACCGTCCCGTCCGAGATTTGACCTCCGGATTCGTCGCATGGAGGGCGTGTGCCTTACCACTGTGCCAACCAGTTCATGCCATGGCTGAACCAAATAGCCAATTAATATTTATTAATATTACTATTATTTATTATTATTCAGGAAAAAATGGCACGTTGCTTAGATCATTGGGGGAAGGAAGCGCGCAAGCTATTACACCACATCAAGGTACAGTCTCATCGTGATGAGGAAAATTAAACAGTAACGAATTCCAGCTAACGTCAACATTTCCAATACGTCTGTTCAACAGACAGTGGAATCCACCTGGTTCCTTTTGTAAACCCCGTGAAAAAAATGCTTCCGTGTGTTTTCTTAAATTTCCCCTTTGCGCAAGCGTTTGTACTACAGCCTTCAGTGCAAACACGATACCAGACTTTCTCTTCGTTAGGTTGCACTTGACTTTGCACGGTAGGGGCGTGATCATATATGGGACTTTTGAAAGTCTTGGTCCTTTGTACCTCAAGATCAAGCGTCACAAATAGCCTCTGCTGAGGAAGCCGTACGCACTGCCTTCTCGTGGCGGAGATATTTTCCCATCAAAGTGAGAGGACGAAAATCCAATATCCGGGGCTAGGACCGGGTCGATGAACCACCTAGGGGAGTTAGCTAAAACCCTGATTCCAAACTAACCAAGAAGAGGCATACAATCTTTCCATTACGTAGTACTGGGCCTCGAGGCGTATTGGGCACCTGGGTACGTTTGACCCCATCCAAAGGGCGTATGATCCGATGAACTAGACACTAATCCCCAATGGATTGCAATCTTCACACACCACCCCGCTGCATTGTGTGTCAGGCTTTGATGAGCCGTAGGCTCCGGTTGTGAATTCCTCAAGAAAATTCACCTGCCTGGCCTGGGTAACCTGACCCACATGCAAATCAGGGAACGTTTTTTCTTTTTTATAAAGATTATTGTACCATGACTTTTTTGGCATACAGTCGGGTCTCAGACATGTGTGGAATATACATAGGGGATCGATGGGTTAGGATACAGGATAGAGTGAAACAGCTAAAATGGAAGAGAGCACATAAATGGAATAACAAGTTTTTTTGTGTTTCACCGTACACTTTTTGATATTTTTGTTAGTTTGTCGTTTTTTAAACGGAGTACGGGATCTCTACAGGCAAACCGAACAGCATTCGTTCCACCGACTTCTATTCTGGGCCATATCTCTCAGCGCCTCTAACCAACAATAATCCTCATCCCTTGGGCACAAACATGGAAAACGAGCTGCACCAGCCGAAGCTAGCTTCTTCGTACCCCTACGCCACATCATGGTCGGACCGCCGCGGTGCTTCTTTCAGCCTTGCTCGGCACGTGCAGAGAGCATGGAAAGGTAGCCGATGGGAAGGCATATGCAACAGGCAACCACGCCATCGGAGGCGGTGTAGAGCGATTACTTCTGTTGGACAGCGACTATCCATCCCAAAGCACGACGACGAACCTCGTCATTGCCAGCACGACTCTAATTCGAGCGTCATCATAATACTTCGTTTTTCAGATACAATTGTTTCCTCAAGCCGCACTTGTCGTACAGGTGGATTTGATGCTGCCTACTCACGGCCTTTCTACCCGTGTTACTAATGCCGGGTTGCGAATCGGACTACTTACAAACTGCAAGATGGATCCGAGTCAATAGTAACCAATTAAACCCCTATACGGTTTGATCTTTCCGAGAAGATCAACGCAATAAACTGAAACCCAAACGTTTGCTCGCCATTGCTGCCAGTGCACACACAAGGACAGATTGCAACCCCACAGAAGAGAACCACAAACAACAAAACGACACTTCGGCTGATCGAACAAACATAGATGTCAAATTATCTGATTTCCGCGCACACGGCAATTATGCAAATTCCAAGTGATTCGATCAAGTTGCTTTAGTTATTTAAAGGTCGCATTTGAGTATTCTGACATTTATTTTCACAAAATTCATGCAATGTTGTAAATATGAGTTCGAATTTTAAAAAATGGGAAAAGTGCATACTACCCAGGATTTTTGAAGAACTTCTAA